GAGAGAGAGAGAGAGAGAGAGAGAGAGAGAGAGAGAGAGAGAGAGAGAGAGGGCGCGAGAAGTGAGACACCTGCTTGCGATTTTGTGATCGCAAAGACGGGACTAGATCGATTTGGACGTATTCTCGAATCTCATATCCTTCTTGATGTTTTCAAAAGGATCACTGAGTGAAGAGCATTCGAGAGATCCGTGACGCGAGAGGGAGCGTCTCGACGCTGATCGATCACGAATCCGCGTGTGTCCACATCCGAGCGAGAAATGTCGCGCACGTGTCGGTAATTCTGTAGCTTCCCCGAGTAGCAGCGTAGTGTCGAACATGATATGGAAAGACAGGAAGAGACTTTATAGCCAATGACGAGTAAGAAAAATATCATATATCCACCCTCTCGGCTTGATCCGCGCCGTCGAAGCGACGCCGGAGCGGCACGGCGGCTCGCTCGTCGGGGAGGAAAAGCGTCTTCTTACTTGGACTGTCGAGGAATAAATGCGGTTTTATTTACGGGTATATGCATGTGTATGTGAAAATATTTGTGGGTATATGTATGTGAAAAAATACTCGGTGAAAGGTAATCTCGCGAGTTTATCGTGCTCTTGGAAGTTTCTTCGAGTGAAACCTCGTTTCGAGGAGTAGACCATCGATTCACTCGAATTCCAGTGACTTTTCACTCGAATAGAACGAACTCTCCACTGTGAATTGTTGAGTAAATATTTTCACTCGAAATGGAATAACAAATCTGATGTGCTCCATTATTATAGGAATATATTTACTCTGATCGATTGAAGCACTCACTCACATGGAGTCAGAATCCACTCAAACTTTTTTTTTACAGTGGAATGTAATTAAACAATGAAGAAGTTTCGGCGAAATTTGTCAAAATGTAAAACTTCATTCGAAAGTAGAGTTACGGTCGAGTCACTCGAATTTGAGTGACTTTTCGCTCAGAGTGAATTTTCCATTCTGAATCGTTAAGTGAATATTTTCACTCGAAATTCGAAAATGAATTTGATGTATCTCACCGTTACAAGAACAAATTTATTCCAATCTATCGAAACATTCACTTGTATAAGATCAGGTGGTCGATTGTGTATCTGAAAACAGAGTGAAAATAACAAATGTGAGCATATTTACTTGAATATTTGTAACTTTTATTGGTCAATGCCTAGTGAATTTGCTCACTTTTATAATTTTTACTCCGTTTCGAGATACATAATCGACCCCCTGCATTCGCTCTAAGCTTAAATGAAATATTCATCTCTGCGATTTTGAGTGGCGGTATCTTCATTATCTCTTCGTCTGAAAATACTACCACTTTTCACTCGTTTTGAGAGATAAGTTTCCACTCGAGGAAATTTAGAGAACGAGCGACACCCTGACGAGAGAACGGCATTCCAGCTCGATATACACTTCTGATTTTGTACCGTTGGCATCCTTAATTTTCCATTCAACGACTCGATTGACATCCGAGTTCATTAACTCGCTCATTAACGACGTTTACATGTTCGTTGTGCGTTGAGTTTGTCCGAGGAGAAGGAGGATTTCGGTTAAGTCGTGAGAATGTGCGATTCTCGCGAAGAACGACGGCCAATTTAACTCGAGCCGACTCAACAGCGAACAGACTCGCTCTTCTCCCGTGCGCTTTCCGCCGTGAACCAATTCCGCGCAGTGGAAGCGGGATTTCCCTCGCAATGACTCGCTTTCTCACGGCAGCTGCTTGTGATGAAAATAATTCGGCTCGTGACGAATAGAGTCATCGCGCGTGCATTTGCTACATTCGCATCTCGTGAAAACTCGCGATTAATGTTCAACAGACGAAGGGGAGCCTTGTGCTTTCTCGGTTTCCCGGCGATTGGTTCCTCCTCTGTCCTGGGATTCTCGCGCTTTCTCACACAAAGTCCTCGGACAACTATCCGCGACCTCTTTGTATAAAATGCAAAGTAAACGGTAACTTGACGTGGTTGCTCCGGCGTCGCTTCGTGTGTACGGCGAGACGACTCTTAGACACTTATCCTTAGCTACGTCGTACCGTAGACAGACTTTACTGTTTTTCTGCATGCGCTGCATCGCTCCAACTTCACTAGCTTCTTCGACACAAAAATAGTTCTGATATATCTTTCTTGATCCTCTTTTTCGCTCCGCGTCGTGTTCTTACTATTTCTTTCATCTTTTACGTTCTTATTTTTTTTAACCAACACCAATTATATTCAACACGATTTACACTGAGATAGATCTTGACGGATCTTTGGAATGAAGGTTGGTTAAAGGATAGGCAGAAGGAGATAGAGTGTGTGACAGAGAGAGATAGAGAGAAAGAGAGAGAGAAAGTGAGAGTGAGGGAGGGGGAGGGAAGGGGAGGGTGGGACTGAAAGTAGACGATATATCGCAGGGATGGAGTTCCTCCTCTTTCTCCTCCTCCTCTTCAGTTTCCATTGACTCTTAAGATTAGTGTGCAAGTCTTCATAGCGTACACGACGCACCGCCGCGACTTTCTTATTCCTCTTCCATCTTCTTGTCTTTCGTCGGCGCCGGATGTGTTTACGTCGTCGCGAATCGTTGTTTCTGCTTCTTCACAAAGTCGAGGGCCATTTTGTCACCGATTCGGGTTTCCAGAATCTGAAGGATCGGTTGGTCTGCGAAAGACACAGTCAAAGTCACGAAACGGCTCGAATATCTTCTTGGAAGTCGCATTTAAAATTATTCAAACACTCGTAAATCGTCTTAATATCCAAATAATTTAAAATACAAATTTCTAATTATGAAGCGATTTAATTTTGAAGGGCTAAATTATACCTTATATCTGAGATATATCTCAGATCAATATAAATCAAATAGATAGAGACAATATAGAAACAATTTAGGATAATTTTTATCTGAATTTTCTTAAAAAATTCATTTATGCATACATAATTTTCTTATAAAATTCACTCCATCATGACTTTCCATGGTTTTATAAAATCACAAATCTCTTTTGTAGTATCTAAATAATTGAAAATACAAATTTCCAACTATGAAACAACTTAATTTCTAAGAGCTAAACTGGAATATATCTCAGACATAAAAAAGTCGTTTAAAATACTTTTACCTCAATTTTTCTTATAAAATTCACTTCATGAATTTCCATGAGTTTACAAAGCCACAAATCGCGAGAGATTTAAATTTCCACATCTACAGATCCATATTTGTGAATTTATGAACATGAAGGTGTGAAATCACAAAAGATCGTGTGAAATTTGACTGGTCACGTACTCCGATTCTTCTGGTGCATAAGCGGTAATTCCTGATGCTTGAGGCCATGAAAATTGTCTATGCTAGCGTTCGTGTCGGCGACGCCGGGTATAGTACTGAGTCCCAGGAAAGCCTCGCCGGCGAAGTCGTTCGCCGTGAGAACGTCGTGATCCATCACCGTAAAGAGAACCATCGCGTTGGGATCGCGACATTGCTCCACGCTCACCGAGCTTGAAATAAAAAGAGCGCATTAAAGTTAAATATCTTTTCGATCTGTTCCGAGCGTCTGACGTTCAAATAAAGATAATGTCGTATAACACTGTGTGTTAGATAGATGATATAATAGATCATATGATAAATATGCTAATATATGTGCATACACAATGATTATTAATATAAATATGTTACGTTTGTTGAGAATAAATTAACCCGTCGCCTGAAAGATGCCACACATTCCATTTTGTTCTTTTAAAATTTTTGTAATGTCTTCAGAATGTTTTTCTGTTAGCTGTTAGTTTTATTAAATTTTGATATTCCACAGAATCATGAGAGATTATACAAGGTTTGAGAAATTATAAAAATATAATCAAAAAGAAAAAAGGAAAAATTCATCAAATTGTACCTTTCCAATGACGGGTTAATATAACATGTGAATTGTAAGAATAATTTTCAGATGCCACTTTTGCAAGCGAGTAAATGTCGCGACAGTGCGGGAGGACGTACTCACAATTCGAAACACTCATCAAACATAGGATTCAGAGTCCTCTTCTTGACGTTGGTTTGCTGCTCGGCGCAATGCTCGAACATTCGTCGCGGTAACAATTCAATTATCACGAAGGGATCGCTGAATCCGTTCGGATCCAACGGTATGACGTCCCTGGCGTTTATCACCTCGAGACAGAGGGAATCGTGATTTAAGTAAGCTCGCACCGTCAAGACTCCGTATTCGTAGGTGACCGTGTTGAATTGATCCTGAAAAGCAGAGCGTAAGGCACTCTTTGACGATCCTCTTTGAACTGAATTAATTAATTAAATCGAAGAAGCAATCGACGATGAGTTCATCGATTAACTTCGACGATATCGCGCGCCTTGCATACCAGAAGACGTTGCTGGTAATATCGATCAATCAGGAAGGTCGTGTCCATCTTATGGTACTGAAGACGTTCCTCAGCGTTCATGAAACTCTGTCGACGCAGCATTTCCATGGGCAAACCTCTTTCGTCAGCGTGGAAGAACTTCACCAACAAGTCGAGCGCCTCGTGCAGTCTCTCGTAGAACATCTTCGGTTTGTCCTGCGAACGATAACTTCCCCTTATCTTCTTTCATCGCATAATTGTCTTTCATAATTTTGATTATTCGCGCACTCACGCGTCACAAGCGAATGGTGAAAATTATTTCATGTACGTGTATAAGTGTAATAATATTTCTTGTCATTACGCACTTTAAAAAGGCCGATAGAAAATGATAGAAATATATTAAAATTTCAAAAAAACATTTCTTATATTTTTCGGCTCACATAAACAAAAAAAGTCATCAATTTCTTTCCTTTCATATACATATATACAGGGTGTTCCGCATAAGACGTACCAAAAGAAAAATATAAGTAGAACAGATAAAAGTGAAAAATATGGTCGAAGTCATTTTTCAAACAACCACGTAAAATTCCGAGTTATTGAATAAAATGAACTAATCAAAGCGCGCGACGCGGCCGGCGAAGATAATGGCCGATTGCTCGGTGGTCTATTATGCAGATCTAAGACATAGTCCTTTGGACCTATTTGATAGGCCCGCGAGCAATCGGCCTTTTTATCGCCGGCCCACCTTGCGCGCTCTAATTAGTCCATTTATTTTATTTAATAACTCGAAATTTTACGTAGTTGTCCGAAAAATGACTTCTACCATATTTTTCACTTTTATCTGTTCTACTTATATTTTTCTTTTGATACGTCTTATGCGGGACACCCTCTTTGTATATCGTAACTTATCTTTAAATATTATACGAGACGATTATATAATATTTATTTAAATTTATCTATGCCTTTTTATTTTTTGATAATTATTTAATTATTTAATTTCATCATTCAAAAAATAAGAAAAAGAAATGATTTAGTCATACAGATTTTTTTTATATAATTTTATCAAATTTCTTAAGCAAGTAGAGAAAAAAAAATTGATGTTCTCATATGATTGTGATCTAATTACCTCGGCGTTGCCGTCCATTTGGTTGCTCAATTCGCTGAGGACCACTTCCCAAATCTCGTGCAAAACGCGATTGAAGCTCGCAGGCATCAAATCTCTGTTAAGTGCCACCAGGTGAACGTCCAGGTATTCAATAAGAGGCGTGATCGCCTCCGTGGTCGGTAAGCTATCGGGGGACCAAGCCAAGTGGAACATCGCCTTCTTCAGAGGCGGCCTCATCTATGAACCGGGAAGAGATGGTGTACGGTATAAATTGCCGATAAAATAATCGTTTACTTTGATCTTTACGTTGTAATTTAAATTATAGTCGCGATGATTTCCTAGTTTATCATCGATGTTTCTGATTGCTTCGTCGTAATAGCAATTATACATTCGAACAAATGAACAAGTCAGAGAAAGAGAGAGAGAGAGAGAGAGAGAGAGAGAGAGAGAGAGAGGGAAAGAGGGTCATTTCGAAACAAGAAAGTAAATTACTCGTGCTGACCCGGTAACTTTCTGGAAAGAGCACTGAGAGGTACCGCTTTGCAGCGTGACAGTTGAGAAATGAAATATCTACGACAATGCTGCAAATTACAAAACGAGAGGCATCGTGTTACTGCGGAGATCCAGTTTGAAACTTAGGCAAGCAATCTTATATATCTTCTGCTGCTTCGATCCGCGTTCTCGTCGCCGTGTTTTATCTCGACCCACGTACCTTTGCCCCGATTCTCGAGATTATCTGATTGATGTAGTGCAGCATCTGTCCGGGCGTTTGCTCCAGCGGCGTCAGCAGAGCGTTTCGCCACTGCATCCGCACGGACTCGCCCGCCTGATTCTCCAGAGCCACTAGGATCTGCTCTACGCGCAGCTCGTCCCCCAGATCCAACAGCCACCTCCTCACATACTCGAGACCATTGATGGCCACGCACATCTGAAAGCGCCGCGAGTCAAGCACGTTTGGCAGGCAGTGTTTTGCATGTCGCTTTCTCCGTGAAGGAAACGCTCTGTATCGCGCTTCCGTCCGGAAGCGAGGCGATTCCACTATCTTCAAAGGCAATTACCTCGTCCGTGGTCTTATACTGCGCGTGGTCTTCGTAGTACCCGCTATCTGCCAACTTCTGATGAGTTATCTCCGCGTAGTACGATGCGGAACTGCATATCGCCTACAGCAGAATTGCGAATTTTCGTATATTACGCCGTGTTGCATATATTCGCAATGGAAATATCAATTATCGTATGTAATTATCGTGTATAAATATCGTGTATAATTATATCGGGTGAGTTAAAGAAAGTTGGACAGGGCAAGTCAGTCACTATTATCACCTAGAAAATAGAGTTGATCTTCAGATTTTCGAAGTTACTCTACTACCACTAGGAGAAAAAAAGCGTCTTATGTGATAACGCTTTTTTTCTAAGTAGAATAACTTAAAAAATCTGAATATCACCTTTAACTTTTGATTCGAAGATATTCTAAATGACAGTAGTTACTGGCTCACACTGTATAAGATATATCGTGTATATAATTATATTTGAAAAAAGCAAATGGAAAAAGTTTGGTTCGATATTTTAATCGAATTGTACTTCATGTTCTTCGAATTGTATGGAGACGGCATCTTAATCAAATAATCGCCTTGTAGTTTTTCTTCATCGACGTTTTAGCAGCGTTTATATACTTTTGTCTCGTAGAAGGTGATCGCCGGTTTGTCATCGACGAAAGTATTAAAAATCAAGGCGAATTTTTCGACTGATTGTATCATCAGGCTGCATTATATTGTACAATTGCCATACGGTAAAGAGAATCTATTCATCTCTCTAGTAAGCTAGAAAAACTATTCTATGGATTTCCTTGAATATTTCCGTGGTACGGAAATTGAAAAACTTCTATGGGTAATTTCGTGTGCGCAATTTTCCCGGCCAAGTTTCCGCGATACATCATGACTGTCGGGGCGCTTAAGGAAACAATCTCATGCTTACTTACATCAATGACTTTTAGCACGAAGTTATTAGATCCCAACAGATCCGGCCATGCCAGCTTCTTCCAGAATTCCTTGATCTATACACGCGTTCGCAAGAAAATTGCATGTTGTATGTAATTATTGCTATCACAATCTCCCAGAGAGGGACATGTGTTAATTATCATTATAATATTATCGACATGCATGCAAATCGCATATAAGAAAATTTTGTGACCAAATTTTTTGTAATCTTGCATTATACTGAATTATGACCGAAATTATACTATATTTGTTTAAAAATCTATGTTTGACTTTTTGTCTCAAATCGTAATTAATTGAATGTTTTTATATCATATATCAGATGAAAAGTCAACCTAATTTAGGGCAGTGTTAATACTTATTATTTAAAACTCGTTTCTTAAGTGAGATACTTAAATTTGAATTCAGAGTCAGATGAAAGTTTTTTTTTCAATTAAATCACGATTACAATAAAATATAAATGTTACATATATAAATGTCACATATATCGTAATTTAACTAAAAAACTTGGATCTAACTTATTCTATCTAAGAATAGAATCCATTCTATCTAAGAATAGGATCTATTCTATCTAAGAATAGAAATTTAAGAATCTTACGTGAGACAAATGCGAAGTGATAATTATTAGTACAGACTTTACTATTTCTGTAAAAATAATTGTGCTATAACTTCAGTACAGTTCAATTCTATAAAAAACATCGCGAAAAGAAATATAATTTTGACGTAATTTTTACTTATACTTTCTCCGTTTTTACAATACTTTCTCCGTTTAAGAGGATAAGTTAAGAATAAGGGGGATTAGTAAAGTCACCTGATAAAAGCACACGGTGACGTCGTTCGCCGACGTGCTGTGCTTGACGATGTAGTTGAACAACGCAGAGTCCCCGATGCAGACCCGATCGAGCTCCGCCGCCCTTCGCACCCTCTGGACCGCCTTGAGTTTCGCCAGATCCAACCATTTGTCGACAGCTGGTCTGAACCACTCGTAATACTTGCAGATCGCCAAAGTTTTATGATCCGATTGCGGTAGATTCTCCTTCATGCTGAAAGCGATGAGTTTTATGTGCGACTACGACATCTACCACCGCGTCGTCTCGTCTCTCCCCTCGACAGCGAAACTCGCATAATTCGCCAAGAGTTTTATCGCCCCACTACGTATGCTCGATACAACGCGTGCAAAAAGCATACAATAGATCGTCTCCGCGGAATTTATTTTTATGCGGCAAATTTCGCGCCGATGAGAACGAGTGGCCGTAACAAGGGAGATTTACTTCACGAAGTCTTGAAGCGCCAAGTAAAGCTCGAATATTGGTGTTCCTATCTCGGCACCCGGCGGCAGAACGTATTCTTCGTCCCTGTCCTGACCATGCAGCTGCAGGCAGGCAGTGGTGACCCTCGCACCGAGCTCGTTGTGCATCTGCGAAAGCGATCGTTTCAGTTACATGTGATTTCTGCCGATTGCGTACCACTCAGATGCACAAGCGGAGGAAATGTTGCTTCCTGTACATGTCAACGTTATCATATATCGGGGTAATCTTCAAACGTTTCGTCGGAATCTCTTGGAGGATCTTTGACATTCGAGCAGCTAATTACGGAGTCGTCGCAATTCAAATTAAATTCTCGTTGAAAGGAACGGGAGTGGATGAAATCCTGAGAGTCGTAACCCCGTCTCTTTCGAAACAACGTATCAATCGACCCACGCAGAATCCAACAGTTTGCTCAAGATTTGGTTCCAGAGGAATGGAATATGAAAGAAGCATTACAAACAGTTATGGAATGAGTTTATGGGGAGTAGCATTTGAAATATTCATAGGCTGATAATTTCCACCGGAATGACAGAATTTCACCTGAATATTGGACTCTTGACTAATACCCTCGTCGGGAAAAAATCGTTTATCGTTCATTTTTATATTCTACATTTTCATAGTTATCGAATACCTGTAGAAATTCGTATTAATAGTATAATTTGATATCTGCTGCAGTATTGCTTCTGCAATTTCCGAAAACATCACATATTTTATTATAATTTTCCTTAGATACTAGTCAATTTTTATATCATATTTTCATACAAGATAAATTGTGGACGTTCTAACCCGAGGAATTCAAGATAATAACCAGAAACCATGTCTCTCTACAGGCATCGTGCATTCCTTGCTTTATAAAGGTAAGTTTACTTTGCCGTAGCGTATGTAAAAGCTGATTTTACACGCTGCCACACGCGCATACTCGGCACAGCGGCGTTTGTCGCGCAACTTGTTGGATCATGCATGCCTCGTTTGAACGTTACGACGTAAATCCGAGCGGATTTGCGCTTCCCCTCTCCGACAAAATTTGTATACCAAGTCATTAAAGTTCAATCCCGCGTGCTCGCGTTAAATCGTCGTATGTTGCGTATAGATCGTCGTTGCGCAACACGTTGGGATTATGCGTCGAGAGAGGAACCCGGGAGAGGGAGAAAGAGACAGAAAGAGAGAGAGAGAGAGAGAGAGAGAGAGAGAGAGAGAGAGAGAGAG